CCAGAATGGAGCTCCTTGTTTCTCTGTCTCCCCAGAGTATCTCCCATTTCCTTGCCCCTCTTCTCACCTGGGGCCTCTCTTCTCCCTACAGGGCCCTTCCTGGCCCCACTCCCCCCTCTCTCAGGGGCCCTCTGCCTCTGCCTCTGCCTCTGCCCCTTGTCTTGCCAGGACCCCTTCCTCATCCCAGCCCCCTCGGTGGCCCCAGGGGCACCCGCCACTGCCACTCTCCAGCCCGGGCTTGGACTGGGGGCACTGGCTTCAGAAGCAGAACTGTGACCAGAGGAAGGGGAACAGGATCACCATGTCTGATGGAAGGGAGATAGCTGGGCCCCAGCCATGCCAGCATCTTAACACAACGCCAGGCACACATCAGGAGGGGAGTGGAAGCAACCTGAACTGTGCACCTTCGAGGAGCATCATTTTCACTCCGGGCAGGTGATAGCTGCGTGGACCAGGTGAGGAACCTACATTACACCTGAAAAACACTCATCCTGCCTGGAAGAGTGGGGATCCCCGAACAAGAGGGGATGCTTTATCCCTCCTGGGGAGGTGTTTAGCTTCCATCTAAGAGTCCTTAGTCCGAGAGGGCAGAGGGGTGAAGGGCCTAGGCAGGGGTGGGCTCAGCCTCTCCCCACTGTCCCCCTCCTTCTGCTGGGCTTCCCTTCCCACAGAGGCAGGTCTCAGCACGAACACCTCCCAGTGAGTGTCTCTTTCCAGCACAAACTTGTCTCCAGGCAAAACGGAAACACTGTGAAGAAGGCGGCTTTTAGCAAAGCCTCTCAGCACCTGGGATTTCCCTGTCTCGCTCCTCCCCTCCCACACACACGCGCGCACACACACACACACATACACACAGCCTGGGTGTGCCCAGGGTTCCCAGACCCTGCTTAGCCAGCCAGGACGGGGCCTCTCCCCACCCTTCCCCGTCAGCAGTTCTGCCTCCCCGCACTGCACAGATAGCATCTCGGGGAGCCCAGCCCCCAGAGGTCCGGCTTCCATCCAGCCTGACCCACTGCAGGAAGAAGAAACTGTCAGGGCAGCAAAAGCTCCAGCCAGCCCAGGGTTTCCAGGGCAACCCCTCCCCGCTCCGTACGGGCCACCCCCAGGAAAACTGGCTGAGGGTTGTGTTATGCATCGTCAGGCAAAATGATGCCTCAGAACTAGAAACTGCTGATGGTGAGAGTTCATCCCAGAACAGGAGTTATGCTTGACTGGTCCCACCTGCCCCGCCTGGTCAGTCAGGCCCGCGGGAAGCAGGGACTCAGGACAGTCCCAGAGCGGCAGTGGGTGATGAAAGCACAGCTGGGGCGTGGGAGGAGGTGGGTGCTGAACAGGAGCAGGGTGCCCACCTAGAAGGGAAGGGAGGCTTGTGCAAAAGAGAAGGGTGGGGCAGAGAGAGGGAGGGAGGGAGGCAGGGAGGGCAGGAGGGAGGGAGGGAGCAGAGCAAGGGGGGAATGGATGGCCATAGCCACACCACCTGCCACAGCGTCGCCCCAGACACGTTCACACTTATCCCTACGATACCGTGAAGGAGAAGGCAGTGTCAGTCCATCTTGCAGATAAGGAAACTGAGGCTTAGACAGGTTAGGGGACGTCCCCAGGTGACCGGTAACTCACGGAGGGGGCGTGCTTGCTGTCTCCCACTGTTCAGAATGGCCGGTGCATAGTGATAATAAAAAGCAGACTGACTTTCAGCTGGTCATATTATCGTTTTTAAGTTCTCAACAGACAAGCACCCGGAGCAGAGCCCTGCCCCCACTCTGCCCCTGGTGCACCACCGTCTAAGGTCACTCTGCTGGCAGGTGGCAAAACTGGGACAGAACCCAGGTCTGTCTGACTCCAAGGGTAATGTCAAGTCTCTGTTGTTCACCTGGCACCCTCGTTGGTGTTCTCAATGCCTCTCCTCCCCCTTTCACCTCCCTAAGGGTCCGCCAGCCGCCTTCCCAATCTCCTGGATCCCCTTGCCTGGCCCTTTCCTCCAAGCAGCCAGACTCACAGTGCAAGAGGCCAGAGCTGGAGGGTAAACTGCGCTGGCTCCCTGGTGAGCACTTGAGTTTTGGATCCTGGAATCTCCTCTTCCTGACGCATCTCCAAAACCAAACGCTCGAATTCCTCTTCTTTTCACTTCCTGCTCCTTTCTCCCCCCTTTTCCTCCTGCTTTGAATCTTTGGGGTGTATTCATGCATTCTACAGAACTAAGTAGCATTCCCTCCACATGCCCCACTCCACCAAGCACTGGAGGCACAGAGAACAAAACGCACCAAGTGTCTGCCTCCTGGAGCTTATAGCCCAGCTAGGGAAGATAGAAGATAAGCAAGCAAATCCATGCAGGAGAGGACCTCTGATGGTGACAACTACTAGGGGAGGAGGGATAGAGAGGACATGGGGGAGGGAGCTTTAAATAGGGGGTGACCTATGAGCAAAGACCTAGGAGAGTTGAGAGACCCGGCCATACAGCTATTTGAGGAAAAGGAGTTTCCGGCAGAGAAAAGAGCAGGTGGATAATTGTCTGAGGCAGGACTTTTCCTGCCTGTTTGACAGACAATCAGGAGGTCAGGGTGGCTGGAGCCTGTTAGGATGGATAGAGGGAAATGAGGTCAGTGCACAGAGAGCAGACTGTGCAGGGTCCTGTATGCCATTTACTCTGAATGGGATGGGAAACCATAAGAGCCTAGAAATGACATGATCTAACATGTTGTTAAAGGATCACTTTGCGCTGTTAAGAAAAGACTGAGGGGAGGGGCACCTGGGTGGCTCAGTCTTTAAGCGTCTGCCTTCGGCTCAGGTCATGATCCCGGGGTCCTGGGATCGAGCCCCACATCGGGCTCCCTGCTCCGCGGGAAGCCTGCTTCTCCCT